GAGCTGATAAAAGACCATAAAAGTCAGCCTTCTGGGACATAAGGCCTGCATCCCCATGGATGGTAATAAGAAGAGATAACATTTATTATCCACCATAAATCCACATTCTAGATATTAGTTTAAATTCTTACAATAACACTACAATGTCAGAATTACAATCACCATTTTATAAGTGAAGAAACTGAGATTTAGAGAAAGTAAATAAATTGCTCTAAATCCAGCCTTACAGAGAGAGATCCAGTTGGGAGTTGGGAGCTAGGTGCAAGTCTTTGGTTGCAATCCTATGTAAAATGAGAATACACAGTATGCACAAGGGGTGAGAGTGGGGGAAACACAGCTTTTGAGTCAGACATCTGGATTTGAACACTAGCACCAATCTCATTGGCTGTGTGACCTTGGATAAGTTACTTAATTTCGCTGAACCTCAGTTTCCACATCTCTAAAATAGTAAAAAATAATGCCTGCTACCAAGGGTTGCTACAAAGATTAAATGTGTACTCTCTAGATGGTAATTTCCCTTCTATATCTTCTCTTTTCTAATAAGTTTCTGTGGCCTATTGCCTCCTCTGTGGAGCTATGATGGGCATAAATGAAGCATGACAAGGTCAGTGTTAGTCACATGGGAGTATTACGATTTTGTGAAGCAATCACTCTCTCTTTAAAGTGACACTGTTGGTGTAATTATGCTTTAAATGTATGCTTTACAAGGGAAAGCATAGAACACTATTAAAAATTAAAACAGTTTTGGAGAGGATGAGATATTTAATGCAGTTGTAGGTTCTGAAACCAAATAACTATTGATGTCAGAATAACAGCCACAGAGAAAATGGCCACGCCCACTCCTCGAGGCCACGGTGTGGGGACAAAGTGATCACCTTGTCCCGGTTTGCTCAGAACTTTGCAGATTTGAGCACTAAACATCCTTCCTTTCAAGAAAGCCCCCTCAGTACCAGGCAAACTGGAACGGCTCGTCACCCCAAGGGCACTAAGCAGGGTGAAGACTGCGGGGTCTTCACTTCCTCTGTCTCTTGTTTTCACAAACACCCCGTGAAGCAGGCTTCCCTGCCAGAGGCAGATACCACCCTAACCGGGGCACCTTTTCTCTCTATCCAAAAAGTTGTCATTATAGGTGAAGACAGCAAAACACCTTGAAGCAGATGCTTCTTGGAGTGTAAGAAGCTCTCAGTTATGCCAGTCTAGGGTAAGTAGGTTTGCTCATTAGGGCTGCAAATTTGAGCTACATAAAATTAAAAATATTATCAGGGAGGGGCTGGTCCCCAGAGGAAGGGAGCAAGACAAACCTGAATCCTGGAGCCGGCAGAGGCTGCAACAGTCTGGATCGAGCCATCTCCGGCCAGCACCTGCCCTGGTGGCCATGAATGTGACCTCAGAGTGGAACACAGGAGCTGTAGCAGGGAGGTTCAGGCCTGGTGGGTGTGAAGTCCCCTCCAGAGCATGTGATTCTGGGCCACGGAGCCCAAATCTCAAAGAACAGCCACAGCGCCTGCGGCAGCAGCCCTAACAAAAGACCTGCCTCCGCACCTGACTCTGGGCCCACCTGCCAGGAGCAGCAACACCAGCACAAGTCATGGAGCTCCCATCTTAGACCAGAAAGCCTCAGCAGACCGCCCCCCCCCCAATTCCTGAGTCACTGTCCCCTTTTAGGGGTGCCTCCCTCACATCATTCTCTTTAACCTGCGCTGGCCCTGTACTCTGTGGAGAGGCAGGATGAAGACATGGAGAAGGCTTTAAATCGCAGGGTGGGGCCACCCTCAGGGACTCTCGTCTTGAACATGACACCAGAACCAGCACTGCCTCCGGGACAAGGCGCCTCCCTGCTGCCCGCGTGGCTGTGTGGATCGCCGACTTCGCCCAGCTGTGCTGGGGATATGACATGCCAGTCCGCTCTCCACCGCCATAAATAAGACCTTGGTCTGTCAGAGACAATCCCAAGTTAGACAGGACTCCTCCCCTCAAGGGAAGTCCCTGGGGTGACCTTGGAGGGGGCTTGCTTCCTGGATTTCCTAGTACTATGGCTGGAGGGCTTTTGGTTATTGCCTTCCGAGGACTGAAGAAGGCATGTTATAAGCATTCCAAGATGTGGGGGATGAAGTAGGCTTCTCTCAGTTTTACAGGGGAGAAAACTGAGGCCCAGAGAAGTTAAGTGGCCAAAAGTCACACAGCCTCTAAGCGCTGAGTCGGGATATGAATCCAAGCCTAGGTTTACACAGAGCACACTCTGCCATTCCAGGCTGCCTGCCCAAGACGCCAAGTGAGAGAGCAAAGAGCTAACCAAGTGGCAAAATATTTAAAGGGCAGGGTTTCCCTGAACAAGGAAGAATTAAATGTGATCAGAGATCAATCC